GAGTGGCTTAAAAATCACCATAATATTATTCGATCGGTGGCAAACCATAATATTAATTGATTTTCGATTAAGAAATATTATGTGTTTTAGTGGTATCATATAATAATGGTATGCGTTTTATACGGAACACATTATCATATGCATATCGTGGAGGGGAAGGCTAATACTCATTAAAATTTCATAAATAAAACAAAACAACCGAGTGGTTTGCCATTGTACTCTATTCAACTACCTGCACTATTGTGATAATATAATATTATCAACCAATGGATTTCATTCAAACAAAATCGGATGTAAAATATTTTAAATCTTGAATCGCAGCCGTGAAATCTGGATTAGGAAAACATCGTGACGTTCACATTGGTAAACACATAAATCGAATATTGAACGAATAGTTAAACTTTTTAAGCATATTAAGTTGCGAAAAGCGATAGTTGTAGTGTATCTACCACATATCTTGAGGGTAGTTACACTCCTCTCGCCGTATACCAACATTTAAATGCCTTAGGATAATAATAAAAAGGAAAACTCGTTAGCACGTTAATCCTTGAAAATTGATCAACTACAATAAACTTAACTCTCAAGGATGAAAACCATTTGGACAAAAATGTAGAAAATTATAGAATCGAATGCTTTTTAAAATGTTCTTATAAAAATAAAGATCGTAAGAATTAAGGTATAAGCACATCTAATGTTTTTCTGAAAAATAACTAAATTAACGTTCCCTGTGAAAACCTTATTTTTTTGTCGTCACTTACCTATAACTACTAATTGTGAAAAGCGATTAATTGTTGGTACGTCATGGTATCATGGTAGTGGTACATAATAATATTATAATCTTAAAAATATGGCTGAATAATGCACACGGAAAACAGGGGAGGAGGGGTTATACCATCAAGCATCGTGGGTGAAGTATATATTATTATATAGAAAGTCAAAAGCACAGACTTATACCTAGGTATACTATAACGAACACATATTATTATCTTATATTGTATGGGTATATAATTATTATAATAATAAAAAAAAAACAATAATAATAATATATTACACGTATTGATTTTACGCATATGAAATTCACGTTGCGTGCTAAGCAAGTGCACAGCGTACACTTGATGTTATATGTACGACTATTATATAGGTAGGTAATATAATATTCTTCAACTTAGCCATGTCGCATGTGCCTATATATGCGTTGACGCGGTTTTCACATGATATGTATATTTATTTTATTTTTTAAACCTAGGATTTTGCGACTTATAGCCGATTTTGATAGGTATCTCATTCTCGACGACCTCCTATAGCTCCGTGTCCAATTGCCTCAACCACTCTGCTTGGTCGACTCTGCACGCGCCAAGTGCGCATAATCTAACACTATATAACGATTAGCGTATATATATGCAGGCACTATAGGCACGTGCCTACAGTGGGATATTTTGAGGGACGGAAAAGTTTTAGTATTTAGTATTTAAATAGAATTTATTCTGAATACTAAGCATATTTACCTAATTAATATATTATATTTTATAGTAGCTAATTAAATGATAATTCAGTTAGTGCAGTATATTATTATTTTAGTTACCTATTTATTTTCCACAGGCCTACACGTGAAAAACATGCTTCACTGCCGATAACTATATCATGTCGTATTATATAGGCATCGGACCGAGTCTGCCGTAGTCTATAATAATTTTATAATGAGGAAAAGTCCCGTTGAAAACGTCCCTCGGTTTTCTCCCATCAGTACTGCAGATACGGAATTCAAAACTCGAGTCAGACGAGTTCTGCAAAGTATTGCGTTCCTAACCTAACCTACCTGAAGTCCAAATTTTTTTTTATACTATTTAATCTAAGTCTAAATGACATGCGATATCATTAGACATTATATTATTATCATCTGGGTGGTATTATGTTCATGGGTTCAAAGCTCATACACTGCAGTCGTACTTCTTTTAATTTGTTTGGCATTGTGTCGGACTGAGAATGGAGACGGTGCACGTATTACTACTTCCGCCCTCCAATCTTATCGACCTCACTATGGTGGCATATAATATTATGTCCATGATGACAAACACACGCATGTACCGACAGTCGTCTTGTAATTTATTTAGAAAATGTTCAGACTCAGTGAGTGGATCGCGATACGTATCTGCAAATAAAACTCATCGATCAATTTTGTGATTTAAATATTATGAATATGTGTGTACGGTCACATTCGACTCGGTTGTTTTTTTTTTTAAAAACACTACTATGTCACCAACTACGTCGTCGAATAAGATGGTTATTTTAAGGATGCAAAAAACAACAATAATAACAGTTATTGACAACTCATGTATTTATTTCTAGAATAATAATTGACAACCTAAACAATAATAAACACATAATTTCCACTAATGAACAGTCATTTAATTTTGTTTTTATTTTATATCAATATAAGTACAGTAAAACGTACGATACAGCATCGCACGCGAGTGGTCTCGGATTAATAAATGGTTCGTTGAAATTGGGTCGCGCTTCTTTTTAAAATACATTAATTGAATAAATAATTAGGTAATTCCTTTAACCCTTGTATTTTGTTTGTTTATCTGTTATTGTTTGAATTAACGACTGGGTTCCTCTCCTCTCCGAAATAATCATCTCCTAAATAGACCTCGTCCGAATTGTATGAACAATATTAATTAGTAAGCGGTACGTGCTCGAATTGATGGTTTCGCCTTAATGTAGTATATTGTATATTATCGATAGACTTGGTCGGGGAGACAAAATTGTTTTGGTCGTCATCGAACATTTCCAATATACAAGGGTTAAAAAAATAATCATGTACTTGCTAGTAATAAGTAAAATTTGAAAGTCAGTGATAAAAATTAACTGTGCTTAAGTAACGTGCGAAAAAATACAAATTAAAGGTAAAAAAAAATAATAATAAATAAATTAAGTTAAACAAATAAATATTCTACGTAATAATAATAATAATAATAATAATAATAATAATAATATTATGATCATTATCATCAGACAATGGTATGAACTTAAGTTAGGTACTATATAATATTTTAGGTCTAAATTTAAATAATACTATTACCCTGTTAAATAGAAGGATAAGGTAAAAACAAATTAACATAACGTTAAGATAATAATAAACTATCTACTAAATAATGAGCCATAATATATATTATAAATAAATATATATAATATATTACGTTTGATAGTTTTTTTTTTATTTCGATAGAGCAGTGATTTAAGATAAATTTATCGTCATATACTGTATATTGAGTTTTTTTTTTTTTTGGTAACTTATTGGCTCAACTATAGTAGTAATTTGGAAAAAAATTTGATACATTTTTTTTAAATATTCTCTCTATATATAATATATAAATATAATATATATTATCCTATAACATTTATATGGTACATAGAGTCGTTTTTAATGGAATTCTAATAAATAACTATCATAACATATTTTTTTTAATTAAAAATTTGTATTATAATTATTATTATTTGTAACAGTAATATTATCATTCTCACTAAACGACAAATCCTAAACTTGAATACAACAATAATATATATAATCCAGAAACAGACGCTTAAACATAAAATTTAACTTTATTACTATAATAATAAATCTTTTAACGAATAATTTAATAAATATAATAACTATCACATTGGAAAAAAATTATGCAGTGATAATAATATAATTAATAATTTTATAATATATATGTGAAAAAAAAATACTGACAAAATGTGAAAGAAATTAATGAGAAATGTTTGCATAATTTCCCCTTTCGTGAAATGCCCAGTTCACCGTACACGCTCTCAAAAAATGTCACCTACAGAGAAACAAATATTATGACCTATTTTATTTATTGCTTAAGATTATTTTAATTTTTTAGTTACATTTTACACATCTTTTTTCAAAACATGCATGTCTAAAACAACGAATATATTGAGCTAGTCGAAGGAACACAAGATCATGTAATAATAATCAAATTATGTTTTTTTGGTTTTTCTCTTTTTTAATTTACATAATTAATCATATATATTTTAATCTTATTGCGTTTACTCGTTTTTACTTACAATCTATCGAAATATTATAATCGGGAAATTGAGAGGGAATAATTAATGTTTTTAAATGGGGAAGACATAAATTTTGAGAAAATCAAGAACACATCAGGCTATGTACTTTTCCGGAGCAACAATATACTTCTAACAATATCACAATTTTTCATATATATTTTTATTTTTTTTATTAAAAAGCTAAATAGTCATATATAGAACGAAAAATTTAACTTATTTTCATAATTTATCAATTAAATAAGTTTTATTTTTAAAAATAGACAATAATGATCTAACATCGACTTTTTTTTTATTATTATTTATTAATAATTATTATAAAAAAATATAATTATAAATATAATTAATAGAATGTGCTTTCTATGGTGTCAAGATTCGACACCCGAGTAAGTTTAATGTAAATCTAAAAAAAAATTAAGTTTTTTTAAAACAAAATAATAAATAAAGTGTGTATACATTTATCAACAATATTATATTATAATATACCGTTACGAAGAATTATCCTTTTTTTTTTTGTATATTAATTCAAACCTTTTCACAGACGTGCTTTACTTTTTGTTTTATTAACCTACACACAATATTCACTTTTACACAGACTTAGACATACACATATACATACATAGGTACGCGTAATACGCACATCGTATCCGTCGTGCTCGGTACAGACTTTCCTTATAAACTTTTACACAAAAACGCACCAAAGCATATGTAGCTGGTAATATAATATGCATACATGCGATAGGGGTGATACTCCTCTGATTTGGCAGGGGCAGGGGGTAGGGTGGTTGATGATTTAGCCGGATGGTGGTGGTGGTAGGATGATTAGTTGGTAAGGGAATGACCGGGAGGCAAGGGTCGTCGGGTATATGGGCTGACACGGTTGGCGGGGTGGTGGGTGGGGGGGGGGGGTACGACGTTGGAGTCTCCGTTCACTGAACGGTGTCCTCGATGTCCATGGCCATCTTGTTCTTCTTCTTGTTTTTCTTGTGCTCCAAGTTCATTTGGTCGTTGGACGGATTGTCCCACGGCTGACGGGTGCCGTTGCCGAACACCAGGTAAATCGTACAGCACACCATGTACACGACCGCCGACGTTATGAACACCACTCTCCAGGCTGCCTGGGTGGGCTGAAACGATTAACGAGCACAAAAGGAAAATTTAATTCGAGAGTAAATCAATATACACCTGCATGTTAATATATTAAGATATATAGTACAATAAACATGTTGTCATAATATTATCGTAACGATGTATACATATTGGTATTATCATTAAAATATAGGTACTATTTGGGCAGGAGTATATGTTATTATTATATGGCTGGCAATGGCACCGATTGATATTACGATACAATATATTATATTGTTAGGTAGGTAGGCATTATAACAATATCATATAAACCGTATTAAGGATCCCGTGCGTTGCGTTTTTGATTTTAACACGACCGTATCGGGTATTGTATATATTATAATTTATAATAATGTGTACATATAATTATTATTACACATTATAGATTATAGTATACCTATTTCATGGTTCGGGTTTGTATTTGGGTGTTATCCGGACGTTTTTAATCCGGATTTAACGGGTCGTCGTCGTTTCGGGTTAAGTTTCTTATTTACTATGGTAATTCAGTAGAGATCAGATTAACTACCGTCCTAATTTGAATATTGAGTAATATATTTTATATAATATATACACATACCTATCACATGCGATAATAATATCTTGAATTAAATTATACATTAAGACTCGTCTCATGGTCAAATCGGCCTATAACGATATCGATATCGTTTTCTAAAACCAGAGTGTGATGTGGAAATGTTAAAACCACATACTCGTCACGCGTAAGTGTGACAACGAGAATATTGTTAGATTTCTCTACAAGATGAATATTTTGACCATAAATCTGAAAACTTAATTACGTTTTCTTCCACCAAACTTGATAAAAATATAATATGAATGTTCAGATGATCAAACTCTATAGTCGTAGGCGTTACGGCAAGTTATTATTCAATACTCGTTAGTCATTTGTACATGATTAGTTACTATCTTAGGTAATCAGCAAAACATTAATAAAAAACAAAAAATGTAGAATATTTATAATATAGAACAGTTATAATATATTATGCGTAAACAATTTCAATTAGTGCTATATTTACTAGAGTAATTATTTTCTTAAATTTTACTGAGGTTACTAATTAATGGTGGTAACTGGTGCCAATGAAGATACACGTGAACGCACTATATTTTGTTTGGCATTTAAAACATAATACAATTTGCTTTCGTCAGATCAAATGTTGTATTGTTAGATTTCTTACATTAGAGTGGGTTTGTGACCTATTATCAGAGTTAAAGGCAGTATCATATTATCTACGGCACATCAAAGGCTTTTATTGATATTTTAATTTTAATGCGAGTTATGTGCATTAAAATTGTTATATTTACTCTAATATTAAAGCCAACGACACAGAATTTGATCGGCTGAACTCGAATTTACGATGTTATGCACGGATCTAAGAGATAAAACAAATAGGGCTCTGAAGTTCTATTATGGTTCATAAGTATGATACCATATTCAATAAAATTATGATTTTAGTAAGACAATAATAAAATATAACTTCGAAGAGGATTATCAATAATTTTAACCGTACATATTATGAGATGATTTTTAACGAATTTGATCGGTGAGATAGAACGATTTTTTTTAACCAACCCTATAGTTTAATGGGAAAATATCCACAGTTTGAAAACAATAATATAAATTTGAAAATAGTATGACATTTGAAATGCAAATAATAACATTGACATTATTCATTGGTATTAACTGAAACAAAATTAAACATCATTAATACATTAATATTTTATAAAATATTTTTGTATTAAATGTGTTTTTAGTAATGAATTAACAATAAACGTCAATGCAATATAATTATTAACTTTTATGTTAGAATGATTCCAGGCGACATTTTTAATCTTCAGCTATACAATTAATGTACTGTTAAGATAGTAGTAATATTGTCGTTTAACAGCAAATGTTGAGGTTTGCACGATGTATGTCTTTCCTAATCTGTCTATGTGTCTTATAAAATATGAGCTTTATGTCATAAAAACAAAAGAATTGATATTAAAGTAAATAAGAATAAAGAAACGAACAGCTGGGAAACTGCCATGACAACTGTTTATTTTTATTTTAAAAAAAATAAGTCAATGATTTAAAAATAATTTTAATTTAACCTCAATTTTCTCAACGAGGCATTTTGACAATCTTTTTACACATACAAATATTATGCTATGTAAAACATAAAGATGTTATTATACGGCTCTATCATTTTTAAAATGTAAAAAATATATACCCAAACTGTATTCTGTATGTAATGAAAAAATATTCAAAGCAAAGTGCTCCTGAATAATATAACAATAGTAAATAATATTTTATATTTTGTACAAGGCCTTAATATTTCCATTAGCCCATTAAGCTATTGTTAAGATAAATTCATTGTGGTAAACAATAATTATTCTTTAGAATAATGAAAATATTATTATTAATTATTATTAATGCAAATAGTAACTTACTAAAATATGGATTTTTATTAAATTAATTATTGAAATTTATTAAAATGACTTAAATACAACGCTTAATTAATTATAGTATTTAATTTTAAAGTTAGACAGTCTTAAGAAAAATATACTTTTTTAATGTCCATAGAATCATGTTAAGTATAACACGCGATATGAATTTATTATAATGTATTTTAAAAGTACACTAACTCTTTTATTTTAGTTGAAAATTTCGTGAAGAAAAAACCACAATGTGGATAATTATATCCATTATATATGTATAGTTTATTAGTATATATTTATTATCATCATATATTATTATACCTAATAGGTACGTTTCATTAACGGTGTATAACATGTATAACTACGTACAATTGTAAATTTTTTTTTATATATATTATGGATAAATTGATTTTAATTGTATTTTAATGACGTATGTTTAAATCATCAATTATATTATAATATCGCTATTTAAAGATTATTACACTTTGTGGCTACCCACTTATATTGTTTAGATTTAATCTTAAAGGTATCTATGGTTATTGAAAATTGAAATGTGTGTCATTCATTTTTAAACGTACAAATGTATATTTATATAATATATTGTATAATATTATTGTATGCATTTACTAAAAGTTTGCAACATTGGTACTATATTATACGCCTTACGGATATTGCGGATTATACGAAGTTCTACAGTAATCCTTAGTAGTTTGTATTGCAAAAAATTGTAATGTATATACTTTATTGAAATGTATATATATAGTATACACAGTACACACACACATATATAATATATATATTATATACCTAATATATACATATATACATAAATAATATAAGATATTTATTCTTTCTCCAAGCAGACACTGAGCCCCAACTGAACTAGTTCTTAAGATACATAATCAATAATAATAACTAATATGCATTTTAGGTTAACTTGAAAACATAATATACCATTAGGTACATCGTATAACTATGTATCAAATGATAATTATTGCGATCAACTGTACTGCAGGTTTAAAAAGTAGTAATCAGACCAGCTGAATGCGAAATTATGATATTTTATATAAAATACATCATTCATTCCTCACATAGTTTTAAAACATGATATGGGGTGGTAAACATTGCAATTTTGTTAAGTATAATTTAACACGCAAACACTGTATGAAAGTTTACACGAAAACGTTATAAAAAACACGTCTTTGTGGTTTATGCAGGTAAAATTTACGTTAATCATGGTACATTTAAAAAAAATAAGAAAATCAATTTTAAACATACACACATTTGCGATAAACAGTTTAAAATGTTAATATAATAAACATTATAATGATAATAATAAAATAAAACACTTCCAATAAATTTTATAAAAGGCATTACCAAATTTATCACAATCGCGATATTATGATTATTTATTACACGGTTTTATTTTTATTATGTCCGATAATACTGTTTGGAGACGAGCTCTCGAGGTTTTATGTAGCTTCTATATTTTATATTGGAATTTTGTCAAAGATGCACCTATTTCAGAAAAGTCGTACCTAGAATTTTCAAGTAGCTTTTCTGAAAAATTGGACAAATACTAGCACACAATATTATTTAGACAATAATATTTGAGTTGAATTTAATAATGAATCTCTTGACACAGATATTATTGCATTTTATTTGTTTTCTAGACGATATAATAATAATATTAGGTATATTGAAACATTTTTGAGATTTTAAAATGTTGAAACTATATCCCGTGGGTTCCGAAATTCATCTGTGATGTCCGATGATTAACGATTGTTTTAAAATGTTCTTTGGGTAACTAACTTAGTTCTACCCGTATGGTTCATTGCAAGAGAAAAATTTAATTTATCATTTTAATGTAGCTAGGCATAATGTATTAATGTAATATGACTTGAATTGAATTTTTTTTTAATGTAATATAAAAAATTAAACGTAATATACTAAGGAAAAAAACCAACAAGAATCAGCTACTAAGAAGGTATTATGTTTTTATACTAAGATATAATATTATACAAGGTAGAATTTTGTATATTTTTTGTATTTCTCTCTTGAATATTAATTTTTGTTAAAAACAAAAAGACCTTTTTAATTAAAACGTTGTTTTCCCAGTTCCCACTGAAACTATACAGTAATTAGTTGAAAAATATATTTTCCTCCGTGTAGGTATGCGCGTATACCCCAGGCCACCAAACACCACCATTATTTTTTAAGCTTTTGTGTTCGGGCATTGGGTAAAGCCACAAAGACAAAGAAGTTAAAAACAAAACAAACGAATGAATCGATGGCTCTAAACCCAACTGAAAAGAGAAAGAGATCCACAGCCTAGGCCTCGGAGTTGACGGATTTTGAGGATGAAGTTTCCTTGATATATCATTACGAGAATTCAAGTGGCATAAATAGTAACGATTGGAAGGGACAATATAAGAGTCATAATTAGGAATTCGAAATCATAGCAAAATATCAACTTATTCATCCCTCGTTCTAATGGTAACATTAGGTTCAGTATTTGTGTAACAAATGATTTAAATTTTAAACTTTTATTTTCTACATTTTATAATTTCTACATTTATTTTTCTAGTAATTAGTACAATATTCTAAACGTAAATGCAATACAAAAGGTCAATAGTAGACAAAACAATATGTTTAAATATACCCACCTACAGATGCAACACCTATATTTTTTTTATTAATTTTTTTTATACAGTTTTTGCCATTTTATTCTCTAAAATATTTTATGGTGCATTTCATATTTTGCAGCCTTAACTAATACAAGACGTAATGACGCCGTATGCAAACTCGCGGCCATCATTGTTACACGCAATACAATTTTCCACTTACCCTTTTGTCAATAACGTAGCCGGCGACGATCGGGGCCAACAGACCGGCCAAGTTGGCCAGACAATTGGTCAGACTCATCAGTATTCCGGCGAATCGCGGCGATATGTCCAGATGGTTGACTTTGAATCCCGAGTAAATGGCACCGTTAAGACCCACACCAACGGTCAGTATGGCAACAGTCAGGTACGGGTCGCAACCCGTGTAGGACGCGGCGATCAGCGCTATCGCTGGACCAAATTGACCTGGAAAATAAGGACGGGGTAGAAAAAAATTAACAAATAGTTCGAACCGATAATATTATTATCACAACTATTATACATGGCCGTCCTTCCACATTAACGTTTACTACATTAACGATAGACGTCATACTATAACATAGGTATAAGGTACGCGTCAATAATAATAATAATTCTAATAATAATAATAATAATAATAATAATTACGTAGGTAATTATTGGAATTGCGATGGCTAGTAATACGAGGACCGGATTAAGGGTTGGCTGTCGATCACCTAGAACAGCGTTTTTGATGGTGGAATTTACATTTTTGATTTTCCTAAAACTCGCTGTATAGTTTGCCTAAGTGTGCTCAAACACTCGATTCGGGCCTGACGCTGATAATAATAATAATAATAATGATAATAACCATTGGCGTCGTATGTATATTATATATAATGTGCATATAGATAGTAGGTTAGTAGGTACACATTACAGATTCGGCGACATCGACGGAAACCCCTTACACACTACAATATATAATATATTATGCCATACATAATATTATCTGTTGTACAAGCACTCCACAGTTTCTATACCCGTCGTCGAACAATGTGTTTATTCTGTTAAGCAGCAGTAGAAGAGTAGCAGATGGCTCGTCGTCGAATTTCTCTCCGTAATCGGAAATCATTAAAGCGACCTCCGATCGGAAATTAGCTTTTCGAACGTGTCGCTAACGATATTATAACCTCGGCTGTGACTGCTGCAGTTATAATAATATAATATGATATTATATACAACTCACTACTTTATTTTATTTTTTCTAACCCGTCATCTTCGTCAACGGTATGATATTGGCAATTTAAAATGACACCACGGTTTTCCCACTTTATAGCGTGTCTTACATAAAATGCTATAATATTGTGCACATGATATGTGAAAAGAATCTAGCCGAAACTAGCTGCTCCCTCGCACTTCGTTGCCCGTAAAAAATGACAACTCTTAAAAAAACTGTGATTGTTCAACTATTTTTGGGTGTAATTCGATGCAGTAAGTGCAACTCAGACACCCTGGTAGGCAATTCGACTATGCCGGATCACGGACAATGTACGACAGCATATCAAGTAGGTAAACCACCTGCGATGGATTGTAGATACGCCGATCAGCAGCTATCAGTGCAACTCAGCCACCTTTGTAGGCAATGTGTGGAGATTCGATTCGATACCTGATCTGCCAGATAACCAATGGAAACCAATAAAATAATAAATACTAATTTCTACTATTTATTTCACCTATAACCAATAGCAACCATTTATAAACAAAAATGTCAAACGTAAATCTTAAAATTCCCGTTTAAGCACCTCCTCGGGTTGGACTTACTGGGTCAAATAATTATGAATCTAAACTATCCAGGGAACCACTCAAACACTAAAAAAAAAATTTCATCAAAATCGGACCAGCTGTTCTCAGTTGATTAATTACTAAACATTTTTCACACCATTTTTATATAATATATATAGATAGATTATAATATAAAAAAATTATATATAATACGATACAAATTCAAAAGCTACTTAATAAATTGCATTTTTTCCACTTAACCTTACATGGACTTTGAACCAAATTAATTACTTAGAAGTAATTATAATATAATGTATTTATTTTTACTAATCATTATTAACTGATCATTATCAGAAATATTGTACATAATGTGTTTTTAAAACTAAGGCATTTGAGTAGGTAAAAAATAATAATATAGGCGTGATATTGTAGTTTTTAACTTTACTTATTAGTTATTATAATGTCTAACGATGAGTTTAAGAATATAATTTAATTTTTAATAAAATAAACCCAATACTATAATAGTTTAGAGACTACCTATATTAAACACGAATTGTACGATATTGTATGAATTGTTTTCCGATATTTTATCATAATTAACAATATTGATTTAGTTCGTGATAGGATTATTACACGTTTCAAAAAACATATTTTGAAATAAATGTAAGACTTAGACTTTAAGTCATAAAGTTAAAAATTAAATTAGAAAAATATTTTACATTATTTAGAGAATTGTAGGGAATTTTTTGAAATCGGTCCAGTAGTTTTTGAGTTTATTCGTTACAAACAAACAAATCATTCATTCTTATATAATAGTATAGACTATCAAATTTCCCGTGATAATATTTATTGGTTTTTTTTTTTACTTTACACTATGTCCACTATAGAATTTGTTGAAACTCGTATAGAATTTTTCAGCTTAATAGTATTAAGTATCATCCAAATATCCTATTAATATTGATGTCTTTTCGTGTTGTAATCGGAATGTCGTCGCCTAACCGAGGTTTTTGGGCGATACATAGTATTATATCAGGGTGATTTGCTCAAATGGTAGTTTTATCGTTTATTAATACATTTTTTTAAATATGTTTTTTCAAACATTTTTGGTAATTAGGTACGCACATTTTTTGATTGTATCATGTTTTAATGTAGTTAATTTTTTTATACCGTCTTACGAGTAACACTATTTTTATTTCAAACAGAGTCAATCCTTTTTTATTGTAAATTGTTAATCAAATATTTTGCATGTAAATTTTGACGTATCTAATTCGAAATTCGAACAAACAGTTTCTAAATTATCAAACTTATACGATAAAAATAATAATATAGTTCTTATTGATCCTTATAATATAATATAAAATATATGTAACATTTAGTCCAGTTCTTATTATACTTCGATACTCGGACATTTTTTACAAAAATTATACAATATTTAACTAAACATTAATATTAAGTACTTATACCTACTATAATTTTCAAACCATCGTAATCCACATATCCTCTTGGCCTATTATCACCAGTACTAGAATGTAATAACTAGGAAACTATGTTTTAAAATGTCGATTGGTATAAGTCAATGGTTTCAGAAAAACTATATGATTAACAATGCAAGATAAAATTTATGGTTTTATTTGAAAAAAGTTTATGAGACACTCTTAAAAATTGGCTAACATCCTAAATATTTAAAAAATATTGTCCTTAAGTACACTTAGAATAATAAAAATCATAATATCGATGAACTAATTGTTAAAGGAAATGATAATAGGTATCCTTGATGGATCAGCCTGTATAGAGTGCAAATATTAGTCCAGGATACAGCGGTTCATTATGCAATAATATTTATTGTTTATATTTTATAATCTTCGTCTTAATTTAAAATTTTGTAGAGGTAATTACGAGTAATAGTATGCACTTAACAAGTATACATATATTTTTATTTTATTATCTTTCTCTCAAATGCCAATGTAAATATAAATTATGAGTTTTTTTTTTTTGATTACAGTGGTTTTTTGAGAATAATTAATAATAATAAATGTAAAAAAAAATGCCTAAATGTTCAACACATTTTTAAACCATTTTTTATTTAGTTAGAAAAAAAAAACTAAGGAAATAAATAAGATGGATATATTACAGCGACAAAAATAAAAATTTGGACCTTGTGAAAAGATTTATTATTTGAAAATCAGTCCCGACACCATGCTATTAAGAATTTAATTACTTTTTGAAATGATGGGCTGATTTGATTTATTTAAATCTTGAAAATCATCAGTCCATCTTTTTTTAATAAGCTTTTTTTATACTCAAACTTTGATTTATTCATTGTCAACAAATGAGCCCCACTCAAAACCTTTTACCGAATGCTACAAGTCATGAAACAAAGTCAAGTAACTTACCCGAAATATTGATGAGATGAAACGATTTAATAAAAAAAAATTATTTTGGATAATGTGAGTAAAATAATTAGGTATGTTTCCAATATAATAAAGATTATACCAGTAAACAAATATAATTTTTGAATTCATCTATTTATTTCAAAAATCTTTTGGTCAAAAATTCGTGGACTACCTGTGTCTTACTTATTTTAATTCAATGCATGTTATTATTAAAAAGGATATAATTGACAAACATAAAAATGTTAAAATAACTATTAATAACTGGTTATTATTGTACTTAGGATAGTTATATATATGTTTACAATCAGTTATTATATGTATTATATTATGTATTATTTTCTATTTTATTTGTATTTTTATTAATAATTAATAATTAATTATAATTAATAATTATAATAAAAATAATTATTATTTGTAAGTAAAGCTCTCTACCTTCAAAACAAGCTTTGCTTTTATAAGGTAGATAGGTAATTTCTTTGTTTATTATGTACCTAATACTAATATTTATGTAAAAACAATGGATAAATAAAAAAAAAAATCTATAGAAACTGACTTGGAATTTTGCATCAAATGTTGATAATTTCAATGTGAGCTGTAGATTATATTTTTATTTCTAATCAGAGGCGTGCTCAGGAATTTTCGGGATTGTTTGAAATTTTTTTTCAAACAAAATATTTGTTAAATTTAGAGGTATAAATCAAATTTGGCATTCACTCGAATTTTTCAATTAATTTTTTTACGGAAACCTATGTAACCTGTCAAAAACGATGGTGCAAAAATAAATTGCCAGAAATCATTATTTTTTATGGTATAAGCCTTACGAAGTTCACGATGTTCAGTGTTATTATAAGTTAACCGTGCTTATAACGAAATTATTTATTTTTTTTTTAAACATGGGCAATTTAATGTTTTAAAAATGATGGTATAAATATAAATGTTAGCACCCACACACGGTGGTTTTACATAAGAATTCGAGGGATGTTTTTGATTTTAATTGCCCGAGCGAAGCGATCAAGTGACCACGCCGCCGAGTGGATATGATAATACTAACAATTTCAATTAACTATAACTTTAAAATAAGTCTGACCGCCCAATTCAGACTTCCCATCGTTTTCAGGATGATTTACTACACATGTACATAAAAACAAAAAAAATTGAAATGAAAGGTTGTTCAGTAAAACAGAAAAGTTCTAAACGCACGGTAAAATATTGCGTTGTATACAAACGCGTAAAACACCGAATATCGTGAACTTTGTAATGCTATAACTTAAAAACTAATGATTTTGAGCAATTAATTTTTTTAACATCGTTCTTGACTTGTTGTAGTAATACATAGGTTCTTGAAAAAAAAAATTGAAAAATTTGTGTGGGCTCTATACTAGATTTGTTTCTATTAAATTATATTAAAAATTATATGTAAGTTACATAAATTAATGTTAACCCCCTCCCCCCTTGAGCACGTCCATGTGTATGGTTATAATAATGGTTTATAAGTTGTTTATTCTAAAAAAATTATACCTGGTATCTATAAATGTTTTATTGAATATGTTTTTTGGATAAATATAACTAATTTTAAATCAATTAAAATAAAATAATGATTAAATAATATTGTCATTGTAGTACAGACTTTAATAGAAAATAGTTAAAGTATATTATTAATTATTGGATAAAATATGACACTATATAATACTGTTAAATTTAATTAGAAGATTAAACAATTACGGTAGGTACTATCTTAAATAATTTGTTTAATATCTGTGTTGCCGGTTATTTTGTTTGTTTTATTAAAAAAAAAAAATACATTAAAATATATATTTTATTAATGATGGCTTGAAAATATTTTAATTTCCAGTTCGCCGGTCGTGGTAGGGTTAATTATTACAAGTGCGATAATCATTTTTCGTGTTTGAAAGAAAGAAAACAGAGAGAATAATAGAGAATATTTGGTCTAAAGACAAACAAATAAACGTAATACCCTCAAACAAACAACTATTAATTAATCTAACGCCTCAGAAACAGTCTTGTGTTTGGATATTGTGCATTAATTAAACTGAAATACTGAATAAATTAATAATGTCATGTGTGCATCGTATAATGTACATAATATGTGTAATAGAATAACATACAATGCTAAATATAATATTCCATACTCTGCAATTTTCTGATAACAAAAAAGAAAGCATACCAAACGGATATAAATATAATAACTTCATTTTTGGAGACATTAAGCACGAAAAATGAAATGCAGCGAATCATGCTAAACTGAACAATTTAAATTGAAAAGATGAATCATTAATCATTATTTTTGGGTTTATGACAAATTGGTCATCATATTATGTCGTTATTATAATATTATTCAATTATAATTTAGTTAAATATATTCAGACTCAGTTAAATCACTGAGTTGTTAATAGGAACGAATTGTTATGTTTTATTTGTAAAAATAAATAATGTTATGTATGTTAACTATGCTCATATAATGGTTTGTGAATATGTCTATTAAAAATATGTCCATAAATATTACGTTTCCGTACACCAACACATCAAATATTATTATTATATATAATAATATGATAAATATGGAATATCTTAGAACGTATGTCACGAGATTATCTTAAAAACGGAGTATAATAATTATTATCATGTACGTCATAGTCATTATATATATATATATTATAGATAAATTAATAAACCTCAGTTACCAGCCAGCACAATAGTAGACCCGGATTAAATTATAAACTTGAACTCTGTCGACAATTTGAATGCTTTTCAAACTTTAAGACATCAAGGTTATAAATCTCTATTGTGGTTATATATTTCTTGTATTAAACTTCATATCTCTAGAAGTAATACAAGAAAAAAATTGATTGAAATAACGTTATCATCGAGGGAAATGCCAACCACGCATTTTGTTCAATAAAAAAAAATTTGACAAATAATTTATCAATATTGTTACAAATGATTAATATAATGTGTTATGATAATTATTCCTTTTTGAAGTTAATATAATAATGTTTTTCTGCACAAAAAAATCTTATTCGTTCATCAAATAACTGATCAAATGATAATGCGAGTGGATATTTTACCGGAAAATTATGTAACTTTTCGTATTACACATTTAATATAATATAATGCAGTGGGACAAAATATCCCTTGTATTTATGTTTTCTCATTGTTCCTTTTCCATCCTGAATTACTGTAGTATTATCAACTATGTATATGGTTCGTATACCTATGACGACAATTCAACATAATAAAAGTATATATTTTTTTAAGCCCATCTATTTAATGTGAAGTCATTTTTTTTCTGTATTCTCCATTAGTGATTTCCCTCGGGCTGCACTATTATAATCAACATTTTAAAATTGCTGTTAAGATTACCAACAACTGCAGTTAGTATAGGTACTCCTTTTGACGTCACTGTAGGACTGGCATAGAACAAGGCTTATTTTGAATAATGTTGTGCATGGACAACTAGATATTTATTTTAAACTAGTAATTTTTTTTTTTTGAAATCTTAACTCAAAATTATTGTGCTGTAAACTTATTTATTTATAAAAAATACGATTAGGTTGGTAGGTAAGTCCTCAATTTATTTTTACAGTTTCGATATGGATTCCGTTTTCCTGTTGTTTTACAAGGCTAATATTCGTTTTCTACCATACGACCTCAAGCCACAACAAATCATTGTGATAGTGTGTATTTTATCCACAAAAACTAAAAAGCACAAGACCACATTCTACACAATAATAATTCGATCCGAACGATTTGATAATATTTTTTTTTTAAATAAATTAGTCAGCCACGAAACCGTTTTTTTTTCTTAATCTACCAAAAATTAAGTGTAAATCTTATTTATCTAAATAATCTAATCTTATTTATAAATTCCCTGTCAGTTTATGGGTAAGTGTAAGCAGGTAGTTTTTTTGTCAAACTAATTTACCTGGCATTGCGTTGTGAAGCGTATACAATTTAAATTGCTAAACAATTACTGTCAAAATAGTAATTATAATATCTGTTGTTTTGTACGTAAACCGTTATAAATACCTAACAATTCGGGCGTGGATTGGGTGTATAAAGGCGTGTCTGTGAGTAGAAAAATGACATTTATAGACGCATCGTTAGATAACTACAATATGTCACGGGACGGCGATAATGATACCTTAAATGCAAAACTTTTTTTTTACGAAACCATATATTTGCATTCGCCTACTTGAATATGGTATGCACGTACGTACATATGGTCGTAAGTCGAAATAATAATATCTCAAAATAATATACTTTCTTTATATATGTCTTACGTTGGTAGTACGAAAGTACACGCACGTTATATTATAATATGGGTAATAAGGTATAAATATTATTATGTATATTGTATACAGAGTGACTTGCTAAGAACGAGGTGATTTTGATTCAACAACATTTCTGAAAACAGCATCAACTTAACGATGTACAGTGAAAATGGTTTCGTTTCTTATTTGAAACAAAAGAAGTACATATCGTCACAGGACACTCCTTATAGATTGTATTAAAAAAATACTAAATATTTGAAAGTATGATAACATTAAGTACATAGTATCTGTATACCTATATAATATCTTATAATATGTGTAAAAATTTCAAAGATCATTATTTGAATTAACTTGTTAGGAAAAAATGGCGATGAGCATGCTTGGTGAACCATCCTGTATACAGACGACGGAAACTCTGATAAAAAATTTTGCTCGATTTCCGATCATTGAAATATAAAATCGGTTAGGTTAGGCAATATATTATTATATGTTGAATTTTTTTTTTATTATACATTTATACGCACCAGGAAACGACTATACCATGGACAAATGTATCATACAATCGTTAAATTGTTAACGATTGTCGATTATGTATCAATATTTTAGAATTTCTTACTCGGAAAACATTTTTTACTGGGGCTTTTGAATTTTTTATCAACCTATAGTACCTAAATAAATTAAACGCAAAGAAGACGGTATACCAACATTTCTCTTTTTTCCTGCAGCTACAATATTATATTTTTTCGTTTAAACTTTTTCTATGTGCTTAACAAGCAGAATGCTCCACACGTGTGCATTATAATATAATTTGACGAGCTCTAAGACTTCAAAGGCTTTAAAAGGATTGTTCTTTACCAAGCCTCCTCGATACGGTCCGCACTTTACAAACATATTACAATATTCGAGGAACACTCTTTCCGAGCGTTTATCAGAGGTTGCCTTATTAGTTTATTTATTTAGTGCAAAATCGCTTCGAAGAGGTTGTAAAACGCAATTCACCGCGAAAACCCGGCCAATTAAATTAGTTACAACCTATATAGTAGACGCATTATAATGTGTACCTAACCCATTGCACGTTACACGGTGGATATCTAAAAGGTCAATATATTCAAACATTCCACCCGCCATCTGCACGCCAGTCCGACGTCGCATATTAATATCACTAGTTATAGATACCCCTACGGCCCTATATCGTTATTATAACCATATAGTATATACCAAGCTCATGATAAAATCATAAGTCACGTAATATTATAACGCATCCTTGACCGGAAGAGTCTAACATAATATAGTGGTGGGTACAGGTAAATATTATATTATTATTGTGCGATCCTTACCGATAGAGTTGACGATTTTGCGCGTGACTGTGTGCGTGAACCTCTCCGAGGAGATCATCATGTCGGCTATATGGCTGGCCACCATTGAGAACACCCACATGGCGAGGTACGGCAGTGATGAGTACGTTCCGTTCTAACAAGCAACAAACGCATAGTAATTGTTATCGATTACCGGAGTGGTATGGTATATATTTAGGTACAGGTAAATCAATAAAAAAAAACACAATCATAAAATAAATAACCCTCCCTCTCCCTCTCATTCACTGACATACAATATAGCTACCGTGTCTCGTGGTATTATGTATATGTAACGTTATGTATAGTGCAGTACGTACACAATGTATACGTAGATAATCTATTATTATATTATATAAAATAATATTATTATAGTTTCGTATTATATTATATACTTACAGCTTTTATATTGAAGTGCAACACTTGTTTCATGAAAGTCGGCAGCTCGGTCATGAGCGTTTCGTATCCGTAATTTTGACCCATGTGAGCGACCAATATGGCCCAGAACGGAGCCGACTTTAATATGCTTCTCCACGGCACGGGAGGAGACTGGAAAATAAAAACAACGAGTTCAGAGAAAGGAGATTGCATTTATGAAAGTCCCGCCGAACAATAACATATTATTATTATTATATACATCGTAGCCCGTGTCGTACCGATCGGCCAAAAAACCCATCGCGAGAGACGTCCCATTCCGATTGCATATTATTATTATTACATACGAAATACAATAATAATACCGTACACTCGCGCCCGACCATATTATTGCCTGTGCGCATACAGCCCCGCTAAGCAAGAACAGTTTTGTTTTTATGTTTTTAAATTATAGATGGGTAAAATAAAACAATTCGATGTTTTTCGTGTAGGTATATATTGTCATAATAATTCACAATATTATAATAATATACCACCGAATATTTATACAGCCGTACACCTACTATAATATGAACTCGGGTCACCAGTGAATGTATTTGTTTTTCTGCGGTGGGTATTGTATACGTGCGTCTTTAATAACAAACATTGGGTTGGTATATAATAATAATAATATGCAAAAAAAAAAAATACTTTTGAATTTTTCTAGGCATAAACGTGTATATACGAACAGTTGTTATTTCCAGATACTAAGTTGTATAATATAATTTTACGGAACATAATATATACATAATATATATGTTTACCCCAGGAATATAGTCGTATTTATTTGAGGAATAAATTATAATTTTTTATTTGGTTTTCTTTTTAAGGTGCATTTTTTATACATGTAATATACGTATAATAATATGCACCAATTAATAGTTTAATTAACATTGTATAACTTTGAATAATAAATTTCTGTATACATGAACAGAGTCTCAAAGAAATATTTTATGTTCAAAAATTATGCATAATAATAAATTACAAAGCGAAAAAGGTGCTCTGCTGTACAGTAGGTTACAAGTGGGTTACTGCATAATGGATGGTATTAAATTTGAATTCAATGATATAATATCATTGTATAAGAAAAACGATTCTGAGCGGAGACGATATGTCAGTCTAGGTATATACATATTATATACTAATCTAGGGTATTAAAAAAAATTGACCTATAATAGGTACATATAATAAATTCCAAATTAACCATATCACAATATCCATTAGGTACTTATAACGCGTTATACATCAACAACAAACCCTGATACTATCATAGATATATAATAGTGTACTTTAGAAATTTCAAGTAGCCACGAATAATATTATACAATCTCAACAAAATAACTAAAATAGTTATTCTAGGTTTTTATTATGTAATTTCGTCCAAATTGAACTTAAAATGACTATAAAAATAAACTGTGACGACGTTTATTAAATGCCACCCGCGAGTAAGGTCGCAACGTTCTAATCAACAATCGTTAGGCTTAGGATTTCGGTCCCGTTTATTTTTCTAAGACTATTATCAATGATATTTACGCGTAGTTATAATATACTCAACTATAATATTTGAAGAAGGATTTATGTTTCGATTCATATTATATTCTGCAGACCTGCAATGCTCATTGTATACCTACAGGTGAAGTCTTTTATATTCCGAGTGAAACAATGGATGTATTGATTTTACAATGACGTATATTTTTTTGTGTATGCGTACAAGTTTTATAGTAAAAAAATGATTCAATCATCAATTCTAAGGGACAAGGGTAATTTCTGATACAAAATTGCAATTAGTTGGAGCCCATTGAGAGATCTATATTGAAAATTATTTTACCTACGTAGGTACCTGTTATTGTTTATCGTTTACTTATTATCTGCAGTTAGAACTTGGAATAATTTAATAATTCCATGAGATATTTACTCTTCATATTTAAATATTATATTTTATAAACCTATGACTAGATGAATTTATTAGATTTTAGGTTTTCGGTTAAATTTCTTCCAGTGACTAACAATATAATAAAATTAGGTAGCCCTTAAAGTATTGTGACGAACATCTATTGAAATATACTAACAGACAATAATAATTACAGACGCAGCACTCGGACCAGACGCAGACACCACCACACAAAGTCTTAAATTCTTACACAAAACTAAACTGTATGATAAAATTAAAAAAAAATAATAATAATTGTAAATTTTAACTAATAATGGCCATTGTAGCTGATGTTGATTAAGAATAATAAAAAAAAAATAATAATATTAATTAAAATGATATAGGTAAGTATATAATAAATAATAATAGTTATGATATGTTTGAAACTCCCCTTTAGCATAATGTTTCTGTTGGGGGATATAATATAAGTTTGGGTTAAGTACCTACTTATAACTGAAATTATTTTCCAATTTTAGTAAAAATAATTATCGTAACATAGCTTTCTCTTTCAATGAACATATTATTTTAATCTGTTAAGACGAATAACAAGTACCTACATAATTTATACAATTATCTTTTTTATTTTTGTGTATACTATGCAATAATACTTTAAAATGTATTTGCTCGTTTAACGAGTCTCATCGTATAGCTCGCGAGGACTTTTTTTTCTGCAAAACATCATTCCTTATAATTTCTTCACGCCACTCGTAATGTGAGAGATTGTACAATCAGAAGTGAAAAATAACGATAGCTTAAAAGTTTTGTTTTAATTCATACATTATAAATTATAATCGAGCATCAAACCAATACCAAAAACGATGATTGCATGAGAACAATTGAATAAACAATCAGAGGAAACTCAAAGCAAGGTAACTGGCTGAATCGTGTAAAAAATTGTATCAGATTAAAGTATATTTTATTCATGAAATCCGTTTTTAGATTCACTATAGTCGAGACTTCTCCACGATGTCGGGACTCGGCAAATTTGGGAAACTAAATTACAAGCAAAGATAAAAAATTAACAATATGATAAAACCACATAGAAACTAAAAATGAAAGGAAAAATCATAACCCGAGAAAAACATAAACAATATCGTTATCCAGGACGCTGATAAATTTAACCCTCTGCCACCCGCGTCCAAGTTGATACTCGGGAGCATAAATAAATAATGAACGGAGGTGTTTCTCTTACCGTTGGATCTGTCGGAGTGTTTATATAATGTATAGACCCTGTGAGTTACGGTGAAGAGAAACGCTCAGAAAGGAAACTTCATACTTAAACGTGATATCAAAAGTAATTTTTTGTTGATGTAAGGGTTTATCATATTTTAAAAATGTGTAACATTAAGCGAATAAAAAAAAATAGAGACACTTGCGAATTAGATATTTAAAGCGTAGTAAGAAAATATTTGGCGAATTTAGTCGGATGATGTTTTTCACGTTTTGTTTGTACATAAATTATTATAGACAACTACCTATATAATGGATAAAATAAATAGACTTGAGTTATGTTATATAAACGTTAACACACGGACGCACCATATACGCGTAACATAATCTCCTATTCTGAACGTACCTTACTAATTTGTTTAAAAACCCTCGACAATTTATCAATATTCAAAATAATAGCGTTTTGCGGGTAGGTATATTGTTTCAATCAATTACTTTTCAGCATAATTCAATGCGCTCCGAACTTCCTTTCAGCCCATCAAACTGCCAACGGTAGTTGGTTTTGTTCAGCGCGGAAAATAATAATAATTATGACGGGTAATTTAATTTAAAACAATTTCGATAAAAACGAATTACTGCCAATAGAGATAAATAAATTGTATATATCTCGTGCAGGTAAGGGGTCCGTTAATAAGAGATAACTGGCTGTAACTCACTTAGCAAACTGTATATTTCGTTGTAATGTCGAATAAAAATAGTTGCGCATGCTTCGTAATATTTTCCGAATGTGTGTTATTAAAATTCCGAATTGGCTGATTAATTTATATAGGCTGACATTAGTTATGGGACATAGATTTAAAGCGTTTTACATATTATAGAAAGATAAATACCTACATAAAAAAATTATAAGCAACGATTAATATTAAACCTTGGCAAGTTATATTTAATTAAAACCCAAACACTTTTATACTGGATATTATATTTTTTATACTGTTATAACTTATAACTTATAATAAACGAATAATTAAAAATGTTATGATTGTATACAATATTATTCGTTTCATATTTTGTTAGACACTTTATATTTTTTTATGAGATTTGAGAAAATAACACAAACTATTAAAAATATTGTCGAAGCCATAATAAGGTGACAAAATCGTATAGGTACAGAAACTGTCAATTACAACTTGTAACTTATTTCCACCTTGAGGCATTCCTTAGTTCTTTTAAGTATGTCGTAAAGACCCTTCAACGACGGAGCCTAGTTTTATTAATCAGCGTTATTGTAAGGCTGAATACATATTTTTGACAAATTATTTCCAAGACGAGTGTTTTATTTAAGCGTGCAGAAAAAATAATAAGCGAAACCATAATATATAATATTCATATTATAAGCTACTTTGTGCGTATATCGAGTGAAAAACGTTAGGTAAGCTCGTGTCAAACCGAATACCATAATAAAAGCAATTTTTTTAAACACCAAAAAGTTGCGGTTTTGTGTGCTCAATCATATTAATTAAACACACGATACATCGTAAACGTCAATATTATGTTATTATATTATAGCATTAACCCGTTTGATCTCATTCAATCCTCACTTTAAAATGGTATATTATACAGATTTCGCAAGTGTACGTGAATTAATAATTATAATTTATGTCTGCAATTGAATTATTACGTTATTAATTTTTTAAAAAATTTAAAAAAAATTTATAAAACGTCAAGAGCCAAGAAAATAATATAGCGATAGTGTAAACGTTATAATGAAAATGGCAAACAGAGAAATATTCCCACTGAACGAATAATGTGGTTGTACATAAAAATAGTGTCGTGTCGAATACGATGTGTAAATCTCGTAATCTAATACGTCATTAATCATAATAATAATAATGACAAAATGTTCATTCAAAGCAGAATAATATTGTATTGCCACACAATAATATTATTTTATAATATAATATTAAACGTACATAATATTGTATACGATCGTATTCGTATAACATAATTTATAGGCAAGGCGACGACTATTAGTTTTATTTCACAACGGTCGAGATGCACATTATATTATATTATTATTACTATGTTTCGTATATAGGTATACCAGCCTAAACACGATAATAATATATAACATTGGAAATTATTTGGACGGAATATTATATTGTATAATATTATTATTAATTACAATAACGCCGGAGAGTCGACGACCGTGTTTCGCGAGTAAATAATACCTACGCCCGATAGAATTTTAATTAATTATTATTTACACGTCGGTTCTTGTGTTCGGCGTGTACGGTACCGACACGAGTTTCATAAATATTCCACAACCGCCCGGGATGGACGGGTTTTGGGATGTGGGTGCGGCGCGTCAGGGGGTCAGTGGTCAAAACGAGGGTGTGTGTATATGAGCCTGAAGCACTTTGTGATGTGTGTGTGTGTGTGTGTGTGTGTGTGTGTGGGTGAGTGGGTGGGTGGGTGCCCGTTGTATATTTTATCATTTGAAAACCCATAAATTCCGGCCGTTTAATTGTTATTACCGTTTTACCGCGCGCGCCAAAATAGTTGTAATACACTCACAGACACACCGGCAGCTCCCCAAACGGAACTAATAATGTATTTCCTCTCGTCGTGCGGTATGGTCGGGTGAGATTCGGGGTCCTCGTGCACGAGATACAAAAATGCGACTGACCACAGGGTGCCGATTGCGCCGAACACGTAGAATATCGATGGCCATCCTCCGGCAAACCCGTACTCCGAGAGCACTCCACTCAGTGGCATTGAAATCACTGTGCCGAATTGCGCTCCTGTAAAATAAAAAAGAAATTGTAACACGATTTGATTGTTCCACATTACAACACTGTTGGCCTCCAGATATTATGATATAGTATCTTCAAATCCCGGAATAAGTGTATCTACTCGAATACTAACTCGTATACCTATGCCCATAATATCGTGAACTAAATCCTGACTGCAGTGTATGAGAATAATATATTGTAATTTGTAATGTTATAATATTTATAACCGTTTCGTACGGATTTTAATATTTTGTGAGTTGGTACTTTACAAAAGTTCGTTGCACTTTGAAATATTCAGTAAATCTAAGTGTAATTTCTTACAACTCTAGATAAAAATAAATATAAAATTGTAGGTTCACATTTTCCCTGTACCAACACTCTAGGTACTAAATGTGTGTGTTGTGATAATCTTTTGCGTAAAGTCGCAGCCGCTTCGCAAAATAAACCAAACATAAAAATACTTGTTATAAATTAACCTAAGCACCTACCTATTCAATATATATAGTGTGCGTTAGTTGAATAAGTATATAAGCATACCCATATATATTTAGGATTAAATAAACACGACTTAAATATACGCTTAAACTAACCGGGATGACTCAGCAGGATATTTCAATGTGTCACTTTAATGAGTTTAACTCTTTTAGGGATTAAGTTATAATGTAAAAGTTGGAAAAAAAAACCGAGAATAACGACCATATTATACTTGTAAAGGTACCTACTAACGTTTGTAACGAGATCACCTACAAGTACCCATTGTTGTTTCACGCGTTTAAAAAATGTCGTTCTCTTTTTATTATCATTGATGTTTTTTTTATAATGACTTAATATGCGTTCTGTTAGAGAAAACATTTTTATAAAGGCTTTTATAAAATTATGCAAAAAATTGTTTGTTTTGTGTCTTACACTTTTACATCGTAATATAATTATAAGAATATTAGTATTTATGTTCTTTATACAGACTTAACGTAACCATACCTGTTCTAAGTTTTTCACCAATGTGTCATAAACAAGGTGGAATACTTATGAGCCACATTTAGGATTTAAAAAGTAAATTCAACAATTTTTAAATAAAAATAGGATATGTCTTGGACTTCTGCAGCAGTCGGGTTATTAGGAATCATAAAAAACTATGATATTTTCTTTTCGTTTACTTTTTTAAATATTAGAATCGTATTATATTATACGAATCCAATTTAAACGCACGAGTATAATAATAATATTTGGTTGTACCTAAATTTTGGTATCAGCACAGTAACAAACCTGCATAAACGAATGCTCCCATTCGGCTCCTCTCGTTCGGAGGGATCCATTTTGCTAGCAAGGCGTGAGTACAAGGAACTATGGGACCCTGGAAAAAAAATAAACAGCCATTAGAGTCTATTAGACGTTTTAAAAATAAAATACGGTCTATAGTTTAAGAGTAGGGTAGGTAATATATATACGGTCATTAATCCGTTTTCCTAACCACGCTAAATTTGTGCGCACACCATTTTCGCGAAATCAACACCATGTGCCACCGGAGCGCGATAGCTCGAAATTTAAGGAACGTCTGTTAACCCTAAGTTCCAAAAACGTCAAAAGCAAAAACTAGGTCACGTGTACTTCATCGTATATAAATGGAAGCCCACCAGCCCACAATTTGTCAACAACTCGGTAATTGAAAAATAAATTATAATATTCGGTTTGATATCGGATGTTCGGATCGCGAAATAGTAAAATAGGTACATAATATATTTATTATATATTTATGTAGAAGGACCTATAATATCACAATTAATATGGTGTTTAATTTAGTTGTACGTTAAAACAGAAAAATAATAATATTTCAATATCAATATTTGTACTACATCTGTATTTTTAATGTTTGTCCGATACCTATACAAGCGAAAATATAAATTTAAATGTGCACGTACAGGTGGGATAAAATAGATGATTAGATATGCGTGCATCATGATTTCAATCATCCAGCAAAGTTAGGGTAAAAAAGTCGTTAAATTTATCACATTTCAATATTTAAAACCCCCGTGGGAACCATTTGGAACCATGTGTGCCATCTAGATCTTCTGCTAAATCCTACCCACATCAATTATAGGAAATAGTGAAAAAAAAATCCATCCAACGCATATTGCATAAACACGTATGAAAACATTTTCTATGGTTTGAATGTTTTCCATAATTTATAACATTTCGTATCCAATTGGGTAAAAGAATACATTTTTCACAGAGTTAAATATCTTATTCAACCAACAACTGCTGTTACAGGACGCTCGCTTCCGGCGGCCACTCTTGGGATTCTGAAAATGTGCATGTACATACTGATATATTTTTATCCCTCCACCCGCAGAAAAATAAATAAATAAAAAATCACAATACAAAAACGCGAAAAACGCAATTAATATTTATCGAGCAGTGGTTGGAGAAACGAGGTGCAGGGTACGTATTATTATTATTACAACAATATAATTTCATCTATTTCACATTTTCACCACATAGTGCCTATGTTTTAAATACGGTATTCTGAATGCCGTCGTCATTCCTATAGGTACCTCTGGTACCTACCTATAACCTGCATAACCTATTTCTGAAAAGTATAAAAAATATCACGAGGTCGTGAATCCAACAAAACTTACTTCTCCGAGCCCCTGAATGAAACGTATGGAGATCAGGGAAAAAATGCCAAAGTTGGCAGACAACGGCACCAAGAAGCCGAACACCGAATTTATGAGCATACCGACGCCAAGGAAATACTTGGCGCCATACTTCTTCGACAGTATCCCAAACGGTATCTGCGTTATGACGTAACCGTAGAAGAACGAACTGAGCACATAGCCCTGTTGGGAAGTGCTCCACAAGAATGATCCTTCGTTGGACATGCTCTGAAAATATAATACACGCATTGTTATAATGTTGTATGAATTTGTAAATAGTGATGTTGTGGATAAATTATATTTTATAGCAATAACCGTTTACAAGTACACGGTAAAAAAAAAAACGAGTAAATATTATTAGTGTAAACCAGTGGTCGGCAACCTTTTTGGACTCTGCAGAGGCCGCATTCAAAAATTCCATAAGGTTTCATGAGCCATTTCGGAAAAAAATTAAAATCTTTTAGTATTATTTTAAAAAATAATGGCCATATGCAAAAGACGCGCCTGCCGGATTTGGTTTATACTGTAAACGACGAATTTCAGAAGAGTGTTAAAAAGGTTATTGTAGTTTTTGAGAAAAAAAATTGTTTTAATTTTTAATTGATGACCATAGGTACTTAATTGAATAATTTCAAAGAAACATTATGGTTTAGGTTAGCTTCGTATGTTATTAAGATCAATATTATCTTTGAATATGGGTATATTAGTAGGTGTAGTTAAAATAGAATAAAATCGTTAAAAAAATATGAATAATCAATATAAAAACGTATAAAAAATTGCTTTCAGAATATTATTTAAAATGGAGTGTAAGTTATTTTAAATGATATACAATATTATTTTTAGGTTAATGTATTATACAAATGTATTAGTTCAAATACTTGTGTGTAATGTATAGTCATAATATGCCAATAATTATCAAAAATATAATATTAGATATGATTATCGTAATTATTTAGTTATTATCTAAGGCCTTAGTTAGTTTAAAAAAAGTGTTGTTATAAAAACAACTTGCAATTTTCAAATTAGTCATGAACTGAGTCATACACATTGAGTTTATAATTTATAATGTAATTTTGTGTTGATAATTATAAACGTATTCAACCTTTTTAAAAATGACATTGAACTATAATAATTGTGATGCCCATCCGATGCTATTAGAAGCTAAATATAAGCTTCAAAATAAGACATGGTTGTTTTCATTAGTAAAAAATACAATATTACCGATAGACTAAAATTTGTGGTTGAAAATTGAAATACCGTTCGGAAACATCGTGTTAATAATTTATTCGTTCGACGGCGCTTACGAGTGAATTACGAAAAGTTTTCATAGTACCTACGACGCCGGATTTTTATAAATATAATTTTTCATCGGTAAAACTTTTTCGACTTTTATGAAAAATTGTGTAAGACTTTTATTTTTTTTATTTCCAATATTTTCGTGTGAAACTGCTCGCTGTTCCGTCGTCGGTTGTATCGCACGTTATAATATTTTATATTATTACAAACATATTATATAGGTACACAATTAAGTAGCGTTCGACCTTCGGCGTTTAATTTTCAATGGTGGAAATTGTGAGCGACGACAACATTACAAATGCTTCCAACTTCATATTTAATCATATTATTTTTATTTCAGTATTTTATAGGTCCTGTGCATACCGAGGTAAATGGTAATGGTATATTATACTCACGTGTACGGTTGTGTTGGCGGCGGGCGTGTAGTAGCCCTCGCATTCGTCGTCTGGAATGGTCGGATCCCTTTCCAGCGCGGTCTGGTTGACCATGGCCACTATGGCCACGGACATGTTCGTCCTCATTATGTAAGCATTTGCCATACCGAGGAACAACATGAACGTAACGATGTGACGGGAGCCGATCCATGCTAAAAACGAAAAAAAAAAAACAAAAAATTGTAAGCTTTATAATAAACGGAAATTTGTTTAGTAAATGCGCCGCCGTGACGGTAATATTATATTATAAAAAAAACACGTTAAGTAGAAGAATATGCGTTTGTAAAATCTTTTTATTTCGACATCACATTTTCCATTTTCGGTTGCAGCTATACTTAACGATAATAATAATATGACGTCATACATAATAATATATAATAAGTATAAGATATAGGTAGGTACCCTGCTGCTTATCAATACCAATTTGGCTCACGGCGAGAATCGACAGATTTTCTGTTATGTTTGGCACATAAAATATCCAATCAAAATGGGTAATTCGACACGATTAATAATATAATAAGTAAAACGTTGATGTTAACCACTCCAAGCTAAATATTATACCTAATATACGACATCACGCTGAAGTAGGTATAAGTTCGTGCTTTGAAAAGTTTGTGAAAGCTGCACATATACACACTCATATACTCACACCGTGGTTGTCGTTTTTCTGGTAAACTGTTAAACAATTAACGGCTCACGCACAATACACGTCATGTCGATTTTTTATTTTTTTTTTTTACGTTTAGTTAATTTTTTTTTCCAATCACGCCGTGTAACTTGTAAATTATTAGTATAAAAATGTACATTCTGCGTAGAGTTAATTATGCAGTAGTAGGTCATTACTGTCAAAAACGATAATGTACCTGCGTCATTATTAAATCGAAAAATAGAAACAACAATACATTTGGGTTGCTTTTTTTAGCTTTGGCAAATAAGCCGTTATCAGTTAAACATACGTAATATTTAAATTCATCTAATCATTTTAATGGATCTAAGTTTAATGTTTGATATAAATTGTAAGACTTGTTGACATACTTGTGCCGTTGAACACTCGTATCGGCCAACTAAAAACACCGCAGGTACATACCTGAATTAATTTACAGTATTTACATAAGATAATGAAATAATACATTTTTGAAACCTTTTAATAATTAATACATAAAATATGCATTAAACGATTAATAGTATTTTAATGATTTATCGTTGTCTCAAATTGTTATCTTTGACTTGGATACATTTTTAGTCATTAAATTTCTCTTTAATCTAGATACCTACATATATTGGTCGTTATCATTCCCAACACAAGTCGTAAAATAGCGTGGCTTTTGTCGCTCCAATAAAAAGTTAAGTTATAATATGAAGTTAGATGTTTATGTACTATGTAGTTGAGAAAATGCTATTCTCGGTGAAATACTTATAAGGACCATAAAATCAGACAATTTAAACTTTTTGATGAACCTATTGTCATTGTAATAAATAATGAGTATAATACTCCATAAGCGCCAATTTGTTCAAAAATGTTGGTATCATATACACACAGAACGTAAACTATTTTGGCACACCCAAAAAGGCCAAACATTTCCAAGTTTCATGAAAACCTACGTGATAACAACCATATATAATCCAAGTACAAATCCAGAGCAAAGTACTAGGGAGGATGCACAATTTTGTTACAATACAAACATAATATACATTATTGACATATATTTCTATTATTAATCATTGATGAATCAATAGTATTCAGTGATAGGTACAGAGATGGGGGCCTAATCCCCTCAATTTGTCACTGATATACTTACCTATTCAAATTGGTCATAGAAATAACCAAGTATGATAACTATAGGTATGATTGAAATGTTTAACCGACTGGTAAGAAATAGGAGATTAGTGATCTAAAGTTGAATATCTCTATCTATGTAAAATACATGGGAATACTGAGCCTGAATTAGAATAAAATGGTATCACATTATAGGTCAAAAGTAAAAAGATGAATATAAAAATGTCCGTGCAGATAGAAATTATGAATGGAAAGTTATAGAACCACTATTCCGATAAATACAACCAAAAGTAAAAAAAAAAAACTTATTAATACAACTTATTATTAACTTATAAGCTATGGCTGCAAACCAATAATAATTGTGAAACCAAAGAAATCAGTTTTTTTCTTTTTGATTAATTTCTTTCTAAATAACTTTCATTGGTTCGATTCAGTGCAATTTCAATAATTCAAACAACGGCAGAATAAACGGTCTTGTCTTTAAGATTATACTTATAATCTAACAATAAATTAAAGTTCACACATAGAAACTGTTACTTTTTAAATTTTAATTCATCCCGAAGGAATTTTCCGACCATTATTTATCACTCCTCATCAATTGTCAGACTCCTATTTAAGCTCAACCATGGTTTCATCCACCTAATATGTAACCATTTGGTTTACAACTGTTTGCTTTTAGTGTTACTCCCACTGCCAAGCCGTTAATAAATTAACAACACCGATTTTTCTTTGACCAAAAACGGTTAAATTGTAATAAATAGAAATACGTTGAAATACGTTTCGTAAAATATAAGAGTTTAAAGTTGATTAGAGTAGATTAGACGTGTTCAATCGACTTTATATTCTTAGTATTTCTATTTACCAATACATAATATTGAACCATAAATACATAAACTCGCTGAAGCAGTTAAGTTGGATACTTTAATACTTAATACCCGAATTCAAAACTATAATATTATAGTCCCGCACAGTAGTTATCGTTAAACACTTGGTAATCTGTTATTTATTATTGTCGACTATATATTATAAGCATTTTAGAGTTTCAATACCAATAATTATTAATAATTATTGTCATGTAGACGGTGTGCAATATTTTGTCACGAGATTCGTAAGGATCCGTGACAAACAATTTGGCGTACTTACAATAATAATGATAATTTTGTTATTATTTATACATTTTAAAAACAGCTTAGGCCTATTACACGTCATCGTCTATAACATAATGTGAATTTAAGACGATCGGACCCATCATTCACGTCGCAAGTGTCTCGACAGAGATATTGTCTTAACGGAAGAATTTTTCTCCTCAAATCCGTGCCGATGCGTGGAAACACGATCCTCCGTTCATTTGAATTTTGTTGCAGTTGTATCCATTACACCACCCACGGGATAATGATCGCCGTCTTAACATGGTCGATTTTCAAAATATTTAGTTACAAGTTTAGTTACCTACGAGCTAAAACAATTAATACGTTATATCGTCCACAGCACCACCATTAGGTTTAATGGTGCACATTATTATATGTTTATTAGTTCCGTACCTAACAAAATATAACATAATATTATTATAATGATACGTGGGCCGTCCGAAAATTAGTTTTACTCCGTTTACGCGGGCCGTGTACATCAATTATAGCTGTAGTTGTGCATAAAGCAATCGGTTAACATGGAAAATTAACATTCTAGGCACATACGTATATGACTAATTGATTATTCAGTTTAATTAATTGTGTCGACTGTACATCAAAGGCACGAGTGTATTATTTTCGGCCAACTCCGAGACGACCTACGTAAATTGCCAATTACATCTGGTTAATAATATTTTTCTGCACAAAACGACATAATAATACGATTCATATATTATTATTTATTTATTTGCGCAGTGTACTGCAGGCTCCGCGTACTTCTACAATTTAATACTATTTTGATTTTAACGTGATAATACACCTCCGGCTCGTGTTATCGGTCCGTAGTCTCTTTCTATTTTTACTCAAACAACGCCAATTGTTCAGCTATATCATATAACTATATAGTATAATACAGTACACACTTAAAACTGTTTAAGAAATGTTAAGGTGCTGGAAGAGATAAGTCGCGTAATGAATTGCCCGGCTAAATGTAGTGAAATTAATTTAATTCCGGTCTACCGGAATATTTGGCTGGAGCTCAAAAATGTAATCTGCTGAACGTGGTTATACATGGGATGATAAATCGACATTTATATATTTATTTTTTACTTTGCGGAACAGAGCGGGATGAAAATCGACGGGTCTAGATCCATCAGACGTATTTCTTCGTTCGGCTGTTGTATTATTATACTGAATCATATTTCAAAACGTATACCAATAAGCTACGAAAATAAATTTCGACAATTGTATTATTATATCTATATTATATAGTCACTACTCACTATATGCTACAGTCAAACTCAAAAAATGTCATCTCATATTTACAGAAATAACGTTGGGAAGCCTTTGATTAAAATGTTTAATAATGTTATATATTATTTTGTTAACATGGACGGATGAGTGCTGACGATGTTTACTGAAAAAAAAAAACAACCAACAATAAAAACCGTATAAATATATATATATATATATATATATATATATATACTTAGTATTATTAATTGTTGTGTAAGTGTTGTACGAACTAACTACGGTTCAACGATTTTAAACATATATAATTAACGTAATAAAATAGTTTTAAAACCGACGAGAATGGAAAATAAGATTATAAATGTATACTAAGTAGCAACAACGACGACGATTACAATTAATGTGTCATTATAATTATTAAAGTTTTAGACGATATTTGCTTAGTCGAGTTGAACGTTGCAGATATTGCCATCAGAGTAAACATAAAATATATCACTAACCCGACCTGGCCAATTTATATTATAATTATAATTAAATGATATTCGACCGTTCGTTCCGTGGTCGACTGGCGTATAATAAATATAGACGTACCTATATAGTATATAATATAAATATATATATATATATTTAAGCGTAATCGCATGCCCAAACGGAATTAAAACGACGTCGTGGTATATATATTATTATTACTATTATAGCTGTTGTATGGATCCACCGGAGGCCGACGGATATCCGTTATTAATTACAGCTGCAGCGTGGAAATATACGAAGCGGACGTGCGGTTTTCGCGTTTGCCCAGAACCCGGAATACGTGCAACCCGAGTCTCGGATCGAGAACCCGGTATTAGGTCCCGACCTAGGCGTTACTCTAAATGAGCTAAATAAATTTAAACGATCCCTTTCAATGACCGGTTATATTAATCGTGTACTGTAAAAATATATACGTATATTATTATTTAAAAAAATAAAAAAATAACGATAATAAAATCGGATACAG